CTCAGAGCCCACCGCAGCTGGGGATAGAGGTGGCTGTGAAACAGAGCTGCATAATCTATGCAGGTTAATGAGAAGAGACCCAACTTGTGTTCTATGAACATAGTGGACATCAAGTCCATTAGTTATAGACCAGAGGGCACTGGACTGATGCAACAGTAGTTGATCTTCAAATATTGTGTGTTACTTGATCATCTCTGAATTACTCAATGCTCCCATACATTGCCCATTAAGGCTTTCCTGCCACCCCTTAGCTATGATGATCATACTGGAGAACTCTCAAACACAGGGGCTGTGCCTTGGGCAGTACAAGGTGCACAACAGACATTTAATAAATGACAGTTTATGCAAAGGGAAACAAGGAAGCATTTAGTGGTATGGATATGCCTATTTGATTGTGGTGATGGTTTCAGGGTACATGCACATGTCCAAACTCATCAGATTGTATACTTAAATATGTGCAGTTTATTAAAAATCAATTATACTTCAATAAATCTGTTTCAAATAAATATATAAATCAGCATATATATGTCCACCTACTTTAGTAGATGGTGAGCTGCTTTAGGATAAAAACTTTTGCCTACATGTCTTTATCCAAATGCTTTGTTTGGGCTCATGGCAGTCACCCAGTATTCATTATTAAATGAGTAGGTGGCCTGCTTTATGACTTATGAGTAAAAGACAGTCTCTCCTTCCTAGATGTTTAATTCGGAGAGAACATAACTATATAGCTCCCCCTCCACCAGCTCTAAGACAGAGAATGAAGGAAGGCATCACACAGGTCAGAGATGGTGGGGAGAGGTGCCTTCCCTTCCTAAGGCCAACTGGTAAATGGGAAGCACCAACTCATCACACAAGCCCTGGGGGACAAGCTGTCACCCCTCAGAGCCAGAAAAGAGACTCTACACCCACCCCTGTTACAAAAATAAAAGCTGAGCCGCCATTAGATTCCTCTGACTGCCAAGAGCTTCCCAGATCTGGAGTCAGAGGCCTCGCTGACCAGCCAGCAAGCCTCCCACCAGAAGGAGGTTGAGATGCAGCTCATTTAGTAACTATTTCCTCACACCCTTGTTTAGATGTGAATCTGCACACACAACCTTTACACCAAACTATTACCCTCCTTTCCTCCTTCCCAAAACACCAAATAAGTCAAAGGCTGAGGTAATTAGTTCTGCACAGATATTTTAAATAAATGTGGAAGCAACTCAGAAGGACTTTTTTCTCCCCAGCGTCACACCCAGTACATCTTCTGTGGCAGCTGGGTCAAGCTTGAGCAGCATTTTCACCACTGACTCAATGTCAAAATATTCCTGGACTGCCCTCTTCCTATCCTATTTCTCATTGCTTCTGCTTTGTTTAATCTCTGTCTCTCTCAACACACACATGTGTGTGCACACAAACACATAACACAGAATAGAGAGTCTAAACTTAAGAGTCCATGATAGAATTCAGGAATCACATACTTAGATGAGAAAAATGCCTTTATTTTTACTGGTCTCTAGCTGAAATATAGCATTCCTTTCCATTATGAACACAGGCATCAAACTACAGTAGTGCTAGCTATGCTGGTGTCTTTGACACCAATAGAAACACACACATTTCCATATCACATTGCAACAATTAAGCTGGATTGTAACTTAATTGGCTTAGAGCAATCCAGGGAACTAGTAAAGCACACTTCTGGGTGTGACTGGGTGGGTCTTGGTGGCATGATCTTTGGCATTATATCTAGTCTCTGGCCCCTTCAAATACGGCACCCTTCTCCTGTGCTGTGCTCTGTTTTCCCACTGCTGTGAAGCAGGCAGCTTTGCTGCACCATGCCTTCCACCACAATGTTCCTTCCTTGGAGCCAGTAAGCCTTAAACTAAAACTTCTGAAACCATCAGCCATTTGGCCTTTCTTCCTTTAAGTTGCAAGTCTTGGGTATTTTGTCCCAGCAAAGGGAAAGCTACCTAATACACACATCAATGCTATTTTCCAGAAATATCATTTATATTTCTCACTATTTCAAAAGTTATGGTGGTTATCAGACTTCAAGTAGATCTTATTACTTAACTTGTTAATAAAGCAGTACATATATTACTGAGGGGTTTTTTGCTTTAATAATTAACAGTATTTCAGTAATTGCTTTATAAGGCCATGTATATTTTTAGTACATTTACAAATATTATTCTGAGAAGGAGTCCTTAGGTTTTACTAAATCAAAGAGGTCCATCGCTTCTTGGCCTTTTGGCTAAAATCAAGTGCAAAGAGGTTCATGGCTCAGAAAGAATAAGAAGCCCTGCTGAAGAGTGAGCATTAGAAGGTAGAATCTGAGATTTCTCTAGGCCAGGGTGTGGCCATCAGGTGGTGACATGAGACAGGTCCTGGGAGCAGAGGGACAGCAGGGTTACTGGGTAAGAGTTTGGGTGGGCTTTGGAGGTAGACTGGCCATGTCTAACTAGCAGTGTAATCTTGGGCACTCCACTGCACCTCTCTGAGTTTCTCTTTCCTCAACTGTAAAATAGGAATTATAGACTACAATTCTTGTGAACACGAACTGACAGGATATATAAGGTATGATAAAAAATATGCTGTTTAAATTTTTAAAAATTTATTATAGTGAAAGACACATTGCCATTAATTCCCCTCAAAATACTTCCCCTTGCTTCAAACACATATCCCATCATTCTTGCCACTTTCTAAAGGACTTATGGAAGTCCTTTTACATGTCTTTAGTTGTGCTGTTATGGCTGCGTTGATATCCTGAATTGATTCAAAACATTTACTTTTCATGGTCATTTTGACTTTGGGGAAGAGTCAGATGTTGTACGGTACTAGATCTAGTGAATAAACTGGATGAGGACACACCATAATGTTTTTACAAGCCTGTCTTTCCATTAGATGGCACTCAGCAGCAGCATTCACCATATAGTTTATCACACCTCATAAAGACATGCACAACAAAGGACTTCTAGAACTGCTTCAGAAAGTGGCAAGAATGATGGGTGAAGAGTATTCAAAATGAGGAGGAATGTTTTAAGGGGGATTAATAGCAATGTGCCCTTTCATAAAGTTTAAAAATTTAAATGTCCACTGTATTTTTCGATCATCCCTTGTATGAGTGGCAGCAGTTACTGACCAGTTGAATGGAAGCTGGCTGGCTATAGAGAGACACCCTTTCCCAGCTGGGGACTCCTGAGGCTATGGTACACTGTTTGATTTGGTTTTGAGATATTCATTATCTGTGTCCTGTGTAGGCTTCTCCTATTGTTGAGCTTCAGGGATACTCTGAAGGGCCTCAAACTCTAAACCATGCCCAGGCAGACACAAGTCTCCTGCCCCTTTTCTGTCTCTGGCTCACTGAAAGAGGTGCCTATGGCAGGCTGGAAAGCTCACTTCCAGTCCTAGAGCAGAAGTCTCAAGTAAAAAGAGTGTGCCAAACCTTCCCACACTGACCTCAGAAGACAAGCACCTGCCTCTGGCTTCATGGAGCAGCTGACTCCTGTTCTGGCTTCCTATTACTTGGTGAGCAGTGCAGAGGTTCTATGGTCCAAGATGCTTCCTCCCACACAGGCAGAGCCAGGATCAGGCCCAGGCTGCCAAGCTATGAGGCAAAGAGCCCTGAGGAAGGTCAAGGAAAGTCCCCTACACATCTCTTCCAAAAGCTTGCTCATGTGAGATTCAAGTGTTCTGCTGTACACAAGGATATGCATTCTTTAAAAAATTCTTTCAAACTGTATATTGATTTTCTAGTGAATTATAAATTATAAAAGATTGGAAGGCACAGAACATTTACACAGAGAAATTAAATCAACCATAAGTCTGGCCCCCAGAAATAAAAACTATTAACATTTTGGTAAATTTTCTTGTTGTTACACAGAAATTAGGATTGTAATTCTATAAATAAGTTTATATCCTGATTTTTATCATACTTTACCTAGAGATATTTTCATTTTAAATTCTTGAAAGACACAAAAGCATTATATCATATGCTATGTGTAAAATCTGCAGGTTACTGAGAGATACAATGGCATGTCCAAGGATAGTATTGTGCATATAAATATAAGTCACACCTAGAAAACTGAGAGGAGGAAGCCCATTTTAATCTTCTTAAAGGAAAATAATATTGACTTTTTTTTCCTCCTTTGCTTGAGGAGAATCTGGAGAAAATATTTTTCTCTCCTTAGCAAAGAAATACTAGATGTCATTTTTCTTTTTTACTTTTTCATATCTTACTTTTCCCTGATAAAAGGAAAGCTTTGAAATTCACTGCTAGAAAAATAGTGTCTTAGTTAGAAAGTACTCCAAAAAAAATGGTATGGCAAGGAAAACTTTAGACCTGAGAACAAAAAACCAAATTCACTTATCAGCTCTGCCATTGCAGACCTGAGATCAAAGAGTATCAATCTCCCTGTGTGTCAATACAGACACTACCATCTGCCTCTCAGGGACTGAAGAATTGTGCAGATTAAATAAGATGCCATATAGGAAAGTGCTTTATCAGTAGTAAAGTACAGTGCAGAACAACAGACACTAATTAATGTGATAGTGGCTGCAAACAGCATTGTTGTTTTTGCTACTTAGAAGACTTGAACCACACACGTAGAGAGGCAGTGTCTACCAGTGGGTGAAAGCATGGGCTCTGTAGCCAGGCTGCACTTCCTAGGTTGGTTAACCTTTCAGTTTCTTCATCTTTAAAATAGGGTGAGAGTTTAACTACTTCTTGGGACTTTTGAAAATATTAAAATGAGTTAATTTATACACAATGCTTAGAACAGTTCCTGGAACATAATAAATACTACATCAAGGTAAGCTTTAAGAACATTCAGTGACCACTGGCCAAATATAAGATTGAAATAAACTCACACCAGGCAAAACTAATAGGCACTTTTAAAAAAATGTCTTCAACAAACCTTCTGCTGTGCTTAATCAGAGAACTGGATTAGCAACCCCCACTGGTTTCTCTAAAATGCTGTGACCCCACCTCCCAGCATCTTGGGTTTAGCTGATTTCATTCCTACCTTCTCAGCATCCTGCTCAAAGAGCCGCAGTTGGAAGCACTGGTCCAGCTTGAGTTTGCGCACATGCCACATCTGGTGCAGGTGTTGCCGGGTGGAGTGTAGCTTGTCCAGGAGGCTCGTGATCTTAGGCACCAGGCTCTGGAAGTCAGCACTGCCCGGGATGCAGTTGCGCCCTGAGAAGCCATCACTGCAGCGGATGCACTGCAGCAGCCGCTGCCCCTCCCGGTCCAGCTCTTCCACAGGGGCCTTCAGCACCTTTTTCTTAAGCTGCGTGTGCTCATCGATAAGCCGCCGAGAGCCCTCCACATCCACGGGGAACTCCTTCCGAGCCAGCATCTCCTGCAGGTCCTCAAGGCGTGACAGCAGGTGCACTGCGCTGTTGAAGAACTCCTCCAAGGAGAGCCGCAGCTCAATCCACTCCTCGTGGTTGTAGTCCAGAGAGCCATCAAACTCTTCTGTCAGCTGAGAGGGATCCACCAGCTTCGTGAGGCCCTCCACAGACACCATGCTCGTCTAGGAGGGGCAGACACAGAGTGAGAGACTCAGTGGCATGGGCAGATGCAAAGGGAGGTGAGACCAAGGCAGAAATAGGTGAAGGGAAAGGCAAGGAGAAAGGACAGGATAAGTCTAAGAAAGCCAAGAGCCTGTGTAGGAAAGGGTGAGTGGGAGACCAAGGGACCCACTGGTCAGGAGCCACAGATCATTCAGACCATTAACTGCTTCAGCATTCACATATAAGGAAAGATTGCCTTGCATCTTGTCTTCCCTCCTCCCTACAACGGGGTTAAGATGTTGCAAACAGAGGCTAGAAGAAACAATGATCCAGTACCTGTCATGGAGGGCTTTTTGCTATAGCTGTAGACTCAGATTCATAGGCCAAGACATTATCATGGTTGCAGTAAGCAATGTGGGTCAATACTTGGACTACAAGGATTTCACAGGAAGTCAGCCTGGGCCCCATCATAGACATTCTTCTATGATATAATGGGCAGAACTGAAGCTGGGCAACAGGGGTGCTGGGCACCAGGGGAGCTGGACTCTTATTCTCTGCAAGGTGTCTACCAGCTCTTGGAGAGCAGAGTGGAAAATATCTAAGAGGCAGAATATCTCCAGCAAATGACTGTGTAGGAATCATGCAGTTCATCAGTAAACACCTTTTGCTTCCTCTGAGGCTTTGACTTCTCTCTGTCTACCCCAGCCCTGCACTTTTATTAGTTTCATGACCTGTGGCAAGCTACTTAAGATCTCAGAGCCTTAGTCTCCTCCTCTGTATAGCAGAGATGAAACAGGCTGATTGTTCCTAATCCAAAAATATGAAATCTGAAATGGATTTTGAAGCATTTTGGATTTCAGATTAGAGATGGTCATCCATAAGCCTATGCAAATATTCCCAAATTTTAAAAAAAGAAAAAAAAACCCTCTGAAATCTGAAACACTTCTGGTCCTAGGCATTTCAGCTAAGGGATACTCAATCTGTACTACCTTTCTTACAGAGCTTGCTGAGATTAAACGTGTTGATGTGTGCAAAGGACATAGGAGGCTGGGTACACAGTAACACTCTATCCCAGTCAGCACAGGCCATGAGGACCCAAAGGTTACATCATTACTTGAACTTTTAAAAGCAGTAGTTTATCTCTGTCTTGATACTCTCAGAGCATCTCCTCTTCTCCTTTCCCTTTCTAATCCCCTTCTAAGACAAGAAGGAGCTATCTTAGGAAAAAGAGCTGCTCTGGAAGACAGTCCTCAAACTTGACTATTCATCAGAATCCCCTAAGGAACAATCTGAAGAAATAATCTACCCCCAGAAATTATGATTTGGGGGCAAGAACTTGGGCATGGATAGTTTTAAAAGTTTCTCAGATGATTTTAATGTGCAGCCAGAAATACAAACCTGCTAATCTGGATCCTGGCTACTGAAAGCATGGCCATTGGGCCAGTCACCATCAGCAGACCTAAAAGCTTGTCAGAAATGCAGAATAGCAGGGGGTCTAACCCAGACCTATTGAGTCACAATCTATATTTACAAGATGCCCAGGGCATTTGTGTTCATTAAACTTTGAGAAGCCTTATTTTAGAGCACTTTCCCATTCAAATTCAGCTCAGTTTATACTTCTAGAAGTCCCCCATGAATATACTCACCAGTTACTCATGAGGTAACTGCTACTGAACAAGCCTATACCCCCACACCTACCCTGTCCCTTGTTCCCTCAGTCTGCATTAGGGATTCTACTTGCTGTTTTTAAGACAGTGTTTCATAAATATTCTCCTGAGAGGGAAGCTCCCAGCTACCTATCCTGTACTGTGGCTTAGGAGAAAGAGACCAGTTTGCTCCACTTGGGTGAAGAAGGTGCAGGGAGATGGAATGTGCAGAGGTGCTACATGGAAGCCAAGGTTTCAAGACTTATTAGAAATATTCTTTTCAGTCTCTTTTGCTTATAAATTTATAGACTTGTTGTCACCACTTCTGTATACAAACCAAAAATATTAAAAGAATTTTCCTACAAGACCCCTAGCATCCCATAGGGTGCTGGGAGACTACAGTAGTTAGCTGTTTTTATAACAAGCCAGATTTCATGGGTTATTTACAGAGAATGAGAGCTTCCTTAGTCAAGTGGTCAGGTCTCTGTGCTCAAATTGCAGCCAACTGGGGCCACCCCTGGGGCACAAGAGTCTGGAATGGGAAGCTGCTGAAAGATTCAAAGCGGCTCTGCCTTTATATCACATAGGCTCTAACACATGCATGCACACATACATACACACCCGCACACACACACACACACACACACTTCATCTCCTTACAGATGAGGACCAGAATTCTGAGAACGGGAACAGCTCAAATTTGACTGGAACAAAGATGCTTAAATCTTTCATTTGATATGCTGTCATTAAAAATTCTTAAGGAGGCCAGGGATTTAGCTCAGTGGTTCTGGCACCTGCCTTGCAAGCGCAAGGTCACAAATTTGATCCCCGGTACCAAAAAAAAAAAAAAAAAAAAATTCTTAAGGAATCCATATGCCCTCTGGAAAATTTAGTCTAAAAAACATGTTTTCCCTGACCATGTTTTCCTTTCATCCTTGAAAGAAAATAGAAGAACATGAAGAAAATAAAAATCACCCATTTTCCCAGCCACTTTGAATGAACCACTGTGAACATTTTCATGTGTCGCTCATTCTCCATATACATATTTAAAAACAAATTCTACATTATACAGCCCATACTGTTTTATAACTTACCCTTTAAAAAACAATATTGTGATATTTTCTAAATGTGATCTCAATGACTTCATAGTATTGGTGTATTAATGTTGCCAAATCAATGTAGTTAGTAGAACCTACATATGGATGTATAATTTATTACACATTTGCTTGTATATATATACATATACACATTCTTATAAAGATTATGAAGATTTTTGTATATATACCTGCTTATAATTTTACTTTGCTTTTTACCTTTTTGTTTTCTGTTTTTATGCTAAGAACATTCTCCTAGAAGAATTACTAGATCAATGGGTATAAACTCTTAAAGGCCTTCGGCACAAATTACAAACTGCTCTCAGGAATAGTTATCCCAATGAATACTCTCACCACCAATATATAAATTATCTAATGATTCTGTGCATTTGGGACTTTTTGAGCTTCTTATTCCTTCCCAGACTCTAACTGGAGGAATAAGCCCCAGGTAGCCAAGGAATCTTGAAATCTCAGCCCTTGACATCTTGCATATGGTAGGGCAGGTGGAAAAAAGGAAGTAAGAAATATGTAGGTAGCAGCGGGGAAGGGAAAGGAGGTGGAAGAAAGGTCTGGCTCACCTCAAAGATGAATTTAGAGCTGCCAAAGTTGGTCTTCTGTTTCTGCCAGAAGTTATCTGGCTTGATGATGAGGGCCACATGGATCTCGGCTGGAAATGCTTCTTGCAGCGTTTTGAGGAGGGGCTTGATGAGGTCCCACTTGGAGCCTCGCATGTCGATGATGACGGTGAAGCCACGTTTGCACACGTCCTCACTGCGGGGAGGTCAGAGGTCAGGTATGATCAATCTTGGCAACTGGGACTTTAGAGTACAATGTCAAAAAGCACCCAGAAGCCTGAATTCCCTTCAACCTGGACCATCTTTGCAGGCTCATTCCAGGTCTCCTGCTACCTTCTGGTCCAACTCAATACCAGTAGGTACAGTCTCAGAAAACCTTTGTAGACTAACCCAATCTGACCAACGGTCCTGGCATTCTACCTTCTTCCAGCACTTCCCAAACAACTCAGCCTTCCACAAAGTCAACAGTACTTGAGAAGTTTATCTTTTGTGTATCCGCCACTGTATTTGATAGTTTTTTTCTCCTTCTCTTCTACCTTGGATAAATTATGTTTTTCCCATTCAAATTTAAACCCTCTAAAGACAAAGATTCTGCTGCCCCTTAAAGCTGAGGTGGATGAGGGGGTGAAGGGAGGGCTAGGAATGGGGAAAAAATAAGAACGAAGATGCATCATGTAAAGGTACAAGTTGCCAATGAGAAATGTAATTGTGTTGTCTACCTAAAATGTACCAATAAAAGAATTAAAAAAAAAAGAAAACTGAGGTGGAAATTCCTCAGCAAAACTCTGCTTTCCCCTGTACCCATATCTGTGACAGACACAAGTACGCCTTACCGCTGAATCTGAACTGGGCCAGATAGCCCTTACCAATAAAGGGCTCTAGACCAATTCACCCAACTATTAAATAGAGACAGCACACAAAGCACTAATATCGTGTACCTGCCACCACTGTATTTAAGATAAAATTTTCTTTTTTTTGGTACTGGGGATTGAACTGAGATTGCAAGGCAGGTGCAGCGCCACTTTGCTAAATCCATGGCCCTAAGATGAATTTCTTATAGTTCCAAATATATGTTAGCTTTTAAAAATCAGGTCACTAAATCATACTGACCACTTAGCAAGAGAAAGGGTGGGACTGACACAAGGCCCTATCTCATGTTCTTCTACTATAAAAGTCAAGCATGAAAATGCATAGTTTAGGATTTTGGGGCTGAGAGGAGTAACTCTTAAAATCAAGGCCAAAATGACCAACCATCTTGAAAATAAAGAAATAAATAGGCTTAAAAAAATCAAAATGTTATATGACTTATTAAGGCAAAGTTTATTTAAACACTTAACCCTTGACTATAACTCCTGAAAGTAAAAAGAAAACAATGAAGTTCAAAATAGTTATAGTGTTCCAGTTTGGAAGAATAATGTTTTCAGTTTGGTAGTTCCAAGACTTTCCTCTTATTTTTTAGTTTATTTATCCTATCCATTTATTTTATAACTTCAAGTAGATTTAGCTGATTCACATTTTTTGTGTAAACACTGGTGCAACATTTCCTTGGGGTCTTTTGTCTAATTCCCTATTTCCTAGGTGGCACAGTACTTGTTTAAACCACTGTGCATGTCATGAGAGTCTCAGATGTGACCCCTAACACTCACAGCCACTAGTAGTAAGGCCTCAGTTGGAGGACTGAGACTACAAAAGGAGACCAAAACATCTTTTCATGTGTCCGTTATCAAATTTTTGTGTCTGTGGAAGTGTTGCACACATATGGCAGTTTCTTAGGCCTCCCAGTTAGACAGGAAACTCCCAGGGAGCAGGAACTCTCCCTAGCAGGGGAGGAAGGTTGAGTCTTTGTTTCTTCCCAAATCCTGCCTCCCAAAGGAAAGGAGCTGCCTCTCCTTCTCTGACATTTAATGAATCCACAAGTGGCCAAGGTCTCCCATAAATAATGTTTTCTGCCCTCTTAAAGCAATGTAACTTTTGCTTCAATTACACAATTTCTTTCTCATTATAAGGAATACTTGATAACTATAGGAAAACTAAATATTAAAAAATCTGTATGAGATACCAATGGTAGGAGTTTATAATGCTTTAACCTATTTCCTTTCAATCTTTTTTGTGTATATTGTTCTGACTATATAGTGTTCTACTTTTCATTGAAACATACATTTTGTTGTCATTATCTGAAACTCTTAAATTTAATGATACATAGCCCATTCCTTCCAACCATGTCGAACCTCCTTTTTCCATTTTTTAAATGTAATAATAAAAAGTTAGGCCAGGGATTTAGCTCAGTGGTTCCAGCACATCCCTCGAAACTGCAAGGTCCCAAGTTCAGTTCTGGTACCAAAAAAAAAATATATATATATATATATATTTTTTTTTTTTAAGTTGTATTACTTATACACACTATACTATGCATTTTGTATGTGGCCCACAATAATTCCTCCTCACTCAAAAAAAAAAAGTGGGCTACACGTTGACATGGCTGGATACCATCACTTAATCATTGTCATTACTGCTTCACAAAAAATATATAAACTTGTATATCCGCTAGCAATTATATGGAAGTAGCCCCTTTAGTGTATTCTCATTTTATGGTTTAGATTTAGGATGACTCCCAAAGGTCCACTTCAGAGGCTGGGCTTTTGGATGGTGACTGGATTATGGAGTTGTGATTATTTATCCATGGTTTCAGGCACTAATGAGTTCAGCAGCTGAACGTGCTACTAGGAAGGAGGGCCTGGTTGGAGGTGGATCCCTGGGATGGCGTGATCTTGAAGGGTTATATCTTATCCCTACTCTGTCTCTGCCTCCTGACAGCCATGACTTGAGCAACTTTCCTCCACGAGACTCTTCTGTCATGCCTGGGAGCCAGCCAACCATGGACTGTAAATGTGAACCAAAATAAACTTCTCTTCCTTTAAACTGTGGGTGTCTCGGTGATGCAAAATGTGACTAAGACACCTCACCAGTACTGGTCACTGAATTTTTAAATTCTTTGCCTATTTCTATGAAAAATAACTGCATTTCATTTAAATTTGTCTTCTTTTGTTTACTAGCTATTGATTCATAAATATTGCTTCTGTAAATCAGTATATCCATTTTCCTAGTCGCATTTAATGGCTTTTCTCACTGAATGTAGTATAGTTTAGCTTAACTCAAATTTGTGTGTTCCCAATATATCATGCACTGCAAAGTAACGGTGGGTCTTGCATTCCTTAGAGATAATAGTCTTACTCATTTTTCCTGTTTCTCAGGCTCCATTCCTCTTGTCATAATTATGCTGACATAAGAAATCTGTGCCCCAACAACAAATACTGAATGTTGTTACCAAGCTTGGAAGTTGACTACCCCATTATGTAAATGTGGGGGTGAGCAGCAGGTTACACACTATTAACTAACAATTTCTGACAACTGAAAGTAGAAATCAGGTACTAAAATTCTTCAGGAAGCTCTAACTCCAGAGAGGGAGAAAGCGGCCCAAGGGCTGAATGCTGAGGACTAATCTAATAGCCATCTTTCTGTGAAAATAGCCTAATCTCCCAAGATTCTATGTGTATCTGGTGTAAGAAGGGGGCATAGCTAGGGAGAGGGAAAGGAATGTCTTGCCACACATTTATTCTTTGCCAGGGACTGTGGGTGGCACTTGCTATGTATTATTTCATTATTTCATTTTATTCTCATAGTTACCTTACAAACTAAGTTATCTCAGTATAAGAAAAGATAAAATTGAGGCTCAACATTTGCCTAAGGTCATATGCATAGCAAGTGGGCTAAGAAAAAGCAGTATTCAAAGCTGGGACTGTGGGCTCCTAAGGTTATGCTCAGGGCCTATATCACATTGTACCCACCACAATGACACTATGTGTGGGTGGTGATGTGTTTGGGAACAGAAGCTGGGGATCAGCAATGAGCAGCTTAGGGAGCTCACAAAGGATGAAGGAAACTAGCTAGGTCTGGAGTCCCAGCAGATGACCTCCAGTCTACAGTCAATGGAAAATCACAAAACCAAGAAGAAGAATAACATGGAGTATTGGTAAAGTTTAAGGATTTCATTTTGGTTCAAGCACATGTGTAAATAGGCCAGACAGTAGTAATGTTCTGAATGCATTAGAAAACTCTCTTCTGAGCTTTGCCTCTCTTCTTGCACTATGCCCCCAAGGGCCAAGGAGACTTTCCCAATCAAGGTCATGTGCACACGCATGCATGCACATGTGCACACGCGCACACACACACACACACACACACTCCTTCTCCTCCTTGTAAACCAGACTCCTAGGACTTGAAATCCTAAAACTCTTTGCCCAAAGGACCCTTAGCCTATTTCTTGGGTTCATGGGTACCTCCTTCCAGGGTCCAATCCCCCCGGGCACCGGGCACCATCAGAATGAGTACCCTAGGTCCATGGGTAGCAGCAGGCTGCTATTTGCAAGGATCTGACTAGAACAGGAATGTGCAAGCTAAGGGATCCATATGCATCCCTCTGCTATGCAAGACAGAGTGGGGGAATGACAAAGAAGGAAGGTGAGAGGATAGGCTGGGGGCTTGTCTCTCTGTGCTGCCCTGTTTTGACTCAGAGGAGGCCAAGAAGTCTCAATTTGAAGGCAGTCTCTGAGGTTGCTATGAAGATGTATTTACTAAGGAAAGAACATGGGTTTTTTCCACAGTTTGTTAGCTTACTCCATTACTTTTAAATATTCAGAGGAAAGATATGTAGGGTTCCATTTGTTCTCTTGCCCCTGGCTCTACAATGTTAGAATCAGGCCTGACCAGAGAAGTGGCTAGAGTGAAAGCAGGCTTCAGATCAGGATGCACTCATATGCTGAGGCAGGAGTGTCAGATTATTCTATAGGTCATGAGGTACCATGGAAGGGTATTTAACATTCAGGGAAGGAGCATGATCAGGTGGCTTGGGAAGATCACCCTCCCGGTATGCAGAGAGTAGACTGAAGTCATTCCAAAGGAGTGGTGAGAGCAGAGTAGAGAAGCCACCTCCTCTGAGTCCTTGCTATAATGACTTTTTAATAAAGTCCTTCTTTAAGGGCCATCCTATTGAAAACTACAACTGTTTTCAGACATTCTCTGCCTTATTCCCTGATTTATTTTTCCCCTTAGTACTTAATAACCATCTAGATAATATATTTCTTTGTTGTCCATCTTCCTTCACTAGAAAGTAACCTCAATTTGGGCAGGGATTTTTGT